GTTACATTATACTTATGATGTCATGTTAACCTCTGAGTCTTTTGCAGACCTCCAGGAAGGCTCCGGCTCCCTCGCTGCCCACTTATGCCAATGAGGATGGATGGTGAAGGACAACAAATTACAGGGGCCTGGGTTGTCTGTCAAATACCTGAGTGTTGCCTGGTCGGGTGAGACAAAAGTGGTTCCTGCTACTATTACGGATAAGATATAGGCTTTCCCTACACCCAACACCCCAAAACAACTACAGACCTTTCTGGGCTTATTAGGTTCCTGGCACCCTTTCATTCCTCATTTAGCCCAACCACTCCACCCTCTTTATAAGTCAATGTGAAAGGGTGTTATCTGGCACTGGGGGACCACCGAGCAGGTGGGCTTCACCCAAATCAAAGTAGCAGTGAAATAAATTCAGTCTTTGAGTGTTTTGACACAGGGACTACCATGCAAATTGGACATTTCCAGCTACCCAGAGGAGATAAATGGGGTCTCTGGCACAGACAAGGCAATAAACGAGTTCCCCTTGGCTTCTGGTCCCCATTGTGGTTGAAACTGGTATAGCACACTGCAACAATGGTGTACTGATTACGTGGGCCTCTGCAGGTGGAGCCCATAACCTGTTCCCTGCCGCTCACAGTCCATACCCATCTGCCTATGGCAGGGTGGCTGTGGGACACTTCCAAAAGCCCCACTCAGGAACAGCCCAAACACAGACACTGGCAAAGTGGCATGCATACTTACAACAAGGAGGGAGCTTTACTAATAGTCCCCTAAGTGCAGAATTGCATGCCATGCTAGGACCAGTAACATACACTGCAGAAGAAACAACCTCATTGGATAAGGTACCCATGCCTGAAACTCTGCCAAATGTGAGAAGGACAAGGACCCATCCCAGTGCAGGCCTGGTATACAGATGGCTCCACAAGGGGCAACTCCCCTCATTGGACGGCAGTGACCACTCAGCCTTTGACTGATAGCATGTAGTTGGATTCTGGCTCTGGGCACGTAGTCAATGGGCTGAATTACGGGTCACCTGCATGGTGGCGACATGAGGGCCCACCAAGGAGGAAAAATACAACCACAGACAGGTACTGAGAACAACTTGCTGTTGTCTCTGCCACAAGAACTCCTTACCAGGACCCACAGGGTCACTTGGCCCTGGGGCTGGCAGGTGGGGGCCCACTGGTGTGGTCTCTTAGACCCCTGAAGGACAGGCTTAGAACAGGATATCGTGGTGACACACTTTACTGTGTGATGACTACTCAAAACCTCCAACCTTACTAATCCAGGGCCTCCAATTTCCCAAGGCACTTTCATCCTTTTCTTCTGGTGTGTCATTGTTCCTCCCTTACCTTATACCACTGCCCCTGTGGCACCCAACCCAACTGGACAAGAGGTATGGTATTGCCATCCAGGTCTACAACCACAGGCCAGTACCATACTAACCTAAGACACTGCAGCTGCGTCTTCTTAGATGGTCACGACCTCCCTGTTGTAGTCCCCTCTAAACACCTCAGTTCTTTGTTCTTAGGATGACATCTGCCAACCTGTTCACTGATTTGGCACACACCATTGCTGACTTACAAAATCCCTCCAACTGCAGGGTATGCAGCAGGCTGCCTCTCTCTGCGACCATGGGGTTACCAAGGTGGAAAATGTTCTTTGGCGTTCTTGCCTCTTTGCTACGGCTTTTATTTTCTTGCTGTGCTCTATACTGCTGTTGTGGTATATGGTTGCAATGCTCCCCTATATGTCTGGTGCCAGGGGATCTGCAGAAAGATGGTGCAATAAGACTGTAAGGGCCATTCAGACACACGGAGGGTAAAGTGTAGGGCCTTGCTTGCTCAGCAGTAACCTATGTGCCCTACTGTAACCATGTACCCTCCTGGTCCCCATCTGGGTGGAGAGTTAGCCCTCTGGGATTTGTGAAGATTGAGGGCCTGGCCAACGCAGGTCTTAACTTATCTCAAAGAACAGCACATGTTGAAAGAACACAGAACCCTTAGATGCGAGCTATTGTTCCTGGGAACACTGGTCATACCAAGAGCAGTCCCTCTTGGCAAGCACAGTCTGTATTCCCCTGCCTAGATAAGCAAGCTCCTCTCTGCCCATGGTAGCGGGTGCACAACTCCGTCCAGCCAGCCGCCCCTGGACAATCCCTATATGTAAGTCCCAATAAACCTCTATGTCTCATACGCCATCTCTGAGTCTTTTCTTGAGTCTCTCCACACACTATACCGCACTGCTGCTCAACTGGGTGTGCGGCCAGACAAGGAGACTGCGTGAAGCTGAAAGAAAGAAAACTAAAGCTGACTCACCAAGATCAGGTACTATCAGTGAGAAACAAATCTTACGTGCTGACCTAACTGGTAAAGGAACTGGTACCACGCAATCAAACAAAACCAAACACCAACAACAGCAAGAAGCAGTGCAGGGAAACTGTAAGGACGGTGATCTGCTATCCAGGGGCTAGATAATGGCTCACAGTGTCACACATGATAACTGGGACTGACATACTTCCTTAAATAACATGAGTGATACCTATTAAGTCAAATAATGTTTACCTCATGGGCTTGAAGCTTTGGGAAAAGAGACAGGAAAACAAAACATTAGTAGTACATCTCAGCCACTAGTCATTGCCCTTAGTAAAGAACTATAGGAAAGCGATGAGCTCATGGGGCGGAGGAGGGAAAGGCCAGTTTGGAAGGAGGGATGAAAGAAAATTGGGAGATACTAAAAAATTGGGGTCTTGTAGGATTGAAAAACTCTCAAAGCAATTCGCATTATATCTTTTACTGTTTAAGGTTGATAAAAAGTTGCCTACTCCAGTTCTTATAGGAAAAAGAATTTAAGAAATACTTTTCAGAGTCAAGAATAGCTAAACTCAACTTCATGGAAGTAAAAACGGAAGTTATGGCCATGACATGTTACAATGTGACTGAACCTTGAAGACAATATACAAAATAAAATGTCAATCATAAAAGGACAAAAACTGCATGATTCCACTTATATCATGCTACAACAGTAGTCAAATTCAGAGGCAGAAAGTAAAATGGTGGCTGCCGGGGACTGAGCTGGAAGGGAAGAGGCAGGTAGTGTTTAACAAGTAGAGTTTCATTCAGAGAAGATGAAAAAATTCCAGAGATGGATGGTGGGAATGACTGCACAACAGTGTGAATGTGATCAGTGCCACTGAACTGTACTCTTAAAAATGGTTACGAGGGCAAATTTTAGATTATGTATATTTTATCAAAATAATAAAAAAGGTAAACAACTTTTCATTAAATTCTAGTCCACAATGAGACTTATGTTTGACGCACACATTTGTTTTTCCCTACTCAGTTTTAAGTGATTAGCTGATGTAGCAGAAGAATAAACAGTCTTTAACAGCGTTTGAAAACATGACAGACGATTTCTGATCTAGCAACATCCAGTTACATAATAATAAAAGCTACAGACGAAATCGCTGACAATTATATGAACAAAAGTTAAAAATGATGAAAATCTGTGGTCCTTGCTTTTATTCTTTGTGTATCTCACTTGACTCCGTTCAAACATGACTCACTCACTCCTGAGTGCTCTGTGCCACAGGGACTCCTGAGGCTGCCACCACACACGCTGGCTGGCAGCAGAGCTCCAGAGGGATGGGACCTCATCACGTTCACATCCTTCCTGTTTTGCCAAGAATGACAGCTCCAAGGTAAAAAAGGAAGTTACTGTAGGGTCTGTGGGCACCAGCACAGACACTAGATAAAACTAAAGAACAAACAAAGTAGCAGGACTTTAACGAGATTAAACCTGAGAGAGAGGGAGGGGTCCAGGAGAAATCCCATTTTGGTGGTTTGAGTCACTAGCTGGATGGAAGTAATATCATAGGAAGGGAAGAGAGGAAAATGTGGTTTTCATTTTGCATTTGTTGAGCTTGAGGTGCCTTCCGGAGAGCTACGAAGCAGCATCAACTGGGAGCTGAACCTGTGCTCTGAAGGCTGGGGAAGAGGCCCAAGCTGGAGAGAAACAAAACTGTCAAACCCCAGAGCCCCCCAACAGGTCAAGGAGAACTGCTGTGTGAAGAATGGGGCCCAGACTCGAACACTTGCAAGAGCCACATTCAGGAGAAGAAGAAACAAACAGAAGAATTCAGGGAAACACAGAAGAAATCATCAGAGAGGCCATGACAGAAGCTAAGACACGAGACCTTCCAGAAGATCATGGACTAACTCATTTCAACACGGCAGAAGACTCGACTGAGGCAGAGACTACAGCATAACCACTGAATCTAACTATAATTAGGTTACTCGTGAGCTTTAGAAGAAACGAATGCAGACTACGGCGAGTAGGTTAAAGCACAAAGCAGCAGTGGAAATATTTGCCAGGAAATACAACCTTGAGGAGTCTGCTGCCCAACCTGCATATAGAGACTAGCTGACAGAAATGTGTGAAGAGTTATTTAAAGGACCCGCAGTCGACTCAATCCCCCAGACATTCCAAGTTCCTCTGTGCACCACGCAGGGCCTTCCAAAGGCTGTCTGGGGCCTCGCCATTTCAGCAACTCCAGAAGAACCTCACTAAGCAAGCTGCGCTTCAGCATGAGGTCAGACCACCACTGCAGAAGGCTGCGAGTGTTTACTTCGAGACTGGCAGGCAAACACCGCCCACCACCTCATCTACGCGACCATTAAAGACACTGTGTCAGACTTCTGTGCCTGCAGGCTTCCACGTCCAAGGAGATGTGGCACGCTTTCTTCTAGGGGTCTGTTCTCATCAGCTAATAAATGACTGCACAACATCTGTTTTTGGCCTTGACATCGGAAAGACCAGAGACCAATCTGCGCTCACCTTGGGTGACTCTAAGGGGTATCTGCACACCACCTTTATCTTGTTTATGTATATGTCCCTGAAGCTGAATTTCACTCATTTCTACTTTCTCATTTCAACTTAGGAACGCTCATAAAGCTCATACAGCACAATGTAAAACAAGCTGAGGGAAAAATAAAGAAACAACTCACCAAAGATGTATCCATTTTCCGTTGCTCTTAGAAACACACAGAGGACTCTGGAAACAGAGCTGGAAGAGAAGGTGAATGGAGCGGAGTCATGAAAGGACTGGCCTGGCTTGCTCCTACATCCCAGATTCTCCGGTCCAAAGTTCTCCACACGTTAGCTAGAGAAGACAAAAAAAACAAACAAACAAAAAAAGAGAGTGAGAGAGAACCTCGTGTGGGGCAACAGTACTTTATACCTTGAGAAGGGGCAGGAAAGACCCTGTCGAAGGAGTACCCACATACCCTTACTTTGAAGAACTGAGACACAGAATTTACCCTTAAGTTAACGAAAACACATATTTCTTACTGATTTATCAACAGTTAATAGTAAGAATTACCTAAAAATTCTAAAGAGGCTTCTGTAGATAACTGCTTATTTCACACAGTTACATAATTCCTACCCATGGGGCATACCCCTAGATTAGTGTTTCCACAAGGACACCTGTGGTTTTCGAATAGCTAAACTTCACAGAAAGTACACATCTTGCAGCACAACACTTGTGGCCCATGATTTGATAGGAAAAAATGCACATAATGCACATTCTTTGTGGCACACTGTCCCCGCAATGGTTCTCAATGCCTTGCTTCCCTGTATTCGTTTCCTCGTGAAGTCCCCTCCGACGATGACATGGGCTTTGCTATTTGATTTGCTCTGACTGTAGGGAAATCAGCACATGGGAGGCAGACATACGATGAAAAGTACTTTTCTACTAGAGCTTGCCTTCTTGGAACACTGTCACCTTGTGAAGTAACCCGGCGCTGCCCTGTTAGGGACACGGCTTAGCCAACAGCCGGCACAAACCAGTGAAAAAACAGACGACGTCATCTTAAACCAAGCAGCCTCAGTCACGGCACCAGATGACGACAGCCTCACTGGTGATCCAGGCAACACCAGCATAGGCACTGACCAACTAGACCCAACCCAAATGCTGACCACAGAACTTCGGGCAAATGAAACAGTTGTTTTTCTTCTTTATTTTTTTTTTAACCCAGAAAATTTTGGTTGCTTTGTTACATAGCAAATGCTAAGCAATACATCTAAACTCCCAAACTCAGGATGTTTTTAATAAAATCACACGTGGGAGAAAGTCTTGAATTACATGCCAAATACAATCAGTAGAACTTCACAGCTACATGCAGAACTTTCGAAAAGCTTCCGAATGTGCACTGGATGGACCTCAGAGAAGTTGCTGGAACTAAGATCATGCGAATCAGACAAAATCACTGTTATTGTCTGCACATCAGAAGACTCCGTTTTACGTTTTTTACATCAGAAATGAGTCTTGTACTTCTTGGCAGGCACTGTACTGGGCTTCACTTACATTTAAAACATTGGTTTGAAGCAGAAGTGTGATTCATTCGAATTTTTCTTTTTTAAACAATGGAAAATAGGTTCCTGTTATTGTGCTATAGAATTTATGATTTTCAAGAAAAGATCACTGACATCACATGGGAAACACTTGTATTATTAACCCTTTGAGCGCAAATAACCCCCAGAAAGCAATGGGGAAAAGAGGACAGGCATGTTTCAAGCAAGTTCTTCTAAAACGATATTTGCTCTAAGTTGGCTGCAGTTCCTAAAAATGATGTCAAAAGCAGATGAGTGGTTTGGCTTAACTTCGGCAAAGTGGATGATACTAACCAAAAGCCAGGATGCCTGCTGTATACAAATACGAGCCCGGCAAATCACTTCTGTTCTCAAATGAAACCTTTTCATCTTTCTCATGAGGCAGAAATACCCTGACAAACCCTCCCTCAACCACCAGGAAGAACACTCAGGACAGAGGGAGCATCCCCCGGTCTCGAGGTATCAGATCTGATGACACACGGGTTTGAGAGAGCGCAGATAAAAGAATGAGGGAGAGCGAAGGGACGGGAGTGTTAGGAAGCCCTGGAGACATTCTCTCGGTTGTGACGGGCGAACCCTCCAGCCCCAGACCACCCCTTCCTTCAAGACCACTCCCAGGAGGAACAATCCCTAGGCCCAGCACAGGTCTCCGTCTGAAGGTCGGTCTAAACCCTCCACCGTCACCCAGCCTCGGAGAACTTCGGGAGGAGCAGCAGCACCCAAACCTTGGGCACTCCGGGCAGAAGGAGCAGTAACCGCCGGCCCTCCTCCTCCCCGCGAGTCCGCTGCCTCTGCCCTGAAGCGGGAGCGAGGCTTCAGCCACCGGCGCTGTCCTTCCGGGAGGATCACTGTTCGTAGGCCGCCTCCCCTCCCGCTGTATAACAGCTACCTTGTTCTCAGAAAGACAAGACCGCCACGCAGAGCACAACATGCCCCTCAACCCACGAGGCCTGGACACTAGATCTTGTATAAACCTCCGGAAACGCAAACCGGGAGCGCTCGGCGGGCTGCCCGGGCAGGAGGGGAACTGACACCTCCCCTGCTGGAGCGACTCCACGAAACCCCACAAACAAGTGCCCCGGGAGCCTCGGTCCGCACGCACACCGCAGGGGCTCCCCCGGGCATCGGGCGTCTCACCAGGCGCCAGCGCGCTCGGGCACAGGAGCAGCCCCATAGCACCCAGCGGGGCGGCGTGGCCCGGACGGGGCCGCAGACCGCCCACCCCGCGCTCGCGCCGTCCGCACACCCACCCCGCCTCGACCCCCAGTTCACGAAGCTTCTGGTAGCTATGGCCGGCCTTCCAGAGCGCGCCTCCTCCGAGAAGTAATCACTGAAGCCACAGGCCAACCGGCGCTTCACCAGCCGGCATCCGCGTCCCGGACGGTTCCCACCCACCGACCCTTCCGCTCCCCTCAGCGGAGCGACAGCCGTGCTCGCCCCGTGTCCCCGACCGCCCGCGGCACCTCCGTCACACTGCCACCAACCTCCAGGGGCACGGCATCCAGCCCAGCGCTTCCCCCGTCCCCAGAGCACCGGGCTCCGGAACTTCCGGGCGGAAGAGGGTGGGCGTGGGCGGGGCCGCACACGCGCAGAAGGAACCCGGAAGACTCCTTCCTAGAGTCCGGGTCGGGAGCGCGTCAGCGCAGGGCGAGACTACATTTCCCACAAGCCTCTTGGCGGGTTAGGAAGGGTCTGAGGACATTTTCTTTATTTGCATGGTGCTCTGTCTTGCTTCTCTGAGACCCAGAGGAGATGGGCGAGGTCTTGCCTCCTAACCCTCACTTGACAACCACTGAAATTCTGGGTTGTTGTTTGGATGCAAAATAACCAATAACCACTCTATAGATAAGAGAAATGAGGTCAGTTTACCTGAGCCAGAGTGAGGGTTGTAACCAGGAAGGCCTTAGAAAGTGTTCCCTAGAAGCCTTGTTTTCAGTACAGTCTTGTATCTTTTTAGAACAAAAAACATATATTAAACACACCCAGGACATATTTTCATCAAAATTTCAGAGGTATTCAGTTGCAAATTAGCAGGTCAACATGATGGTCATGTCAGCAAAGGGATTAATCCCAATAGGGCGTAGGTGGGAAGTGTGCATTATCTTTAGAGTGCATTCTTTCATGGTCAAGCAGGTGTACAACGTATGTTTGATAGGCCATAAGTCAGGCTTTTTGTTCAAGCAAATCAGTTTTGAACTCAAAAAGTTACCCCATATACCTCAATATGTGAAAATCTCTTGTCATTTTTAAATCTGGATTTGTGGGAGGAAGGTGGAAATTCTTATGTGGGCCAAACATTGGATGAGATTAACAGTTAGCTTAAATTCTTTTGTTCTGATAAGGGCATTGCAGTTATAGAGCCTACTCTATTTTTCACAGGAGCACATTGTCAACCTTAAAACAGCCAGTTGTCTTACCAGCAAAATGAGTTTATTTAAGAATAGCTAAAGAATTTGGGAATGCTGTGGCAGACCATAGGCAAATCCCCAAAAGGAGAGGAGCATTATTTTATAAGGAAAATGGAGGAAGTTAGGAAGGGTTGTTTTGAGCACAAGTTCATTGAGAGTTCAGAGTGCTGATGGTTTCTCATTGGCTGAGCTGCTGGGATAGTCAATCTCTGCTTGGGAATCACTGTACATTTCTTCCTATAATTAACGATTCATTCCTGTTGACAACTTCTCTTCGGGTCTGTAATTGACCCTATTTCCTGTAATTGACCTAGAGTGGTCCTGCACAGGAGCGCCCCCTTCTGGCTGCCTGACTCTATTTATATGAGGTTTCCCTTTATTAATTTTCACATTCTCCCTTTTGATCAATATTTTTCTCAGAAAGCACTGCTGATCAAGAGTCAGATTTTCTGTTCAAAGTGGTTTTGTCCCTCAGTGCCAGGAAGGACCTTTCCTGGTTGTCATGTCCCACATTGAAGGGAAAGTGCATAGTGGTTGAAAATCATTTAGGCAAAGTTTGAGTAACAGGGAAGGTTAGGAGGAAGAACTCTCAGGCATCCCTTATTCAAAGTCTATAGTTGTCTAAGATCCTAGGTGTAGGAAAATCAGTTGAAATTGTTGACCTAACATACCTTATTAGGTACGTCACGTTTACAAAAGTTCAACAGGAAATAGGTACAGTTTAACAACAAGTACACAAAGCAGGATCAATAACAATACAAGCCCAGTTTGTATGATAGTTCTAAACCAGGAACCCAGACCTGAGGGCAACCAGCTGAATAAATCAAAAGACAGTGGGTTCTTGGGTGAAATTTGTTGTAACCCATGTGCTTGCTCTCTAATTCTATGTAATTGGGTCTCCACTTCCCCAGAGGTGTTTACCCATGTGCAACAGCAAGTGTTTGTTACTGCACAGACAGTTGCCTGCTCAGCAAGTAGGTAATCAAGATGTATACAGTTATCTAAAACTACACTGGACAATGGCTTAAGCAACCATTGTTGGGTTGCAACTGCATTTGCTGTGGAATTGGCCAACTCTTCAAGCGTTAGGAAAGGGCTTCTGATCATTTGTTCATTGGCACTTACTCCAATCCACAGAAAGAAAGCTGTCCCTGTGGAGGCAAGTCCAGAATCATGCACGCCTCCTGGGAGCTCTTGTTTGAGGTGATTATAGGAATTTACTGGAACTGACCAATGAGGATTCTGACTAGTTATGCAGGGAGAACGGGGTGGTGAATACAGGAAGGGCACCCTGTCCTTGTACTCTCCAGCTGTCAAGGCAATGAGATGCCCAAGCATAAAGGCCACGAGCACAGCCTCTACATAGAGCATGTAATTGGGGGTATACATAAGGCTCCCGCATAAGAGACAGTATCTATGGACTCACTCACTGGCATAGAGGCATTGCCACCATTTAACCAATGTCCAGACATTGTGTTGTTACACATTAAGAGGTTACCTAAATATATGGGTATATCAACAAGTGTACAAGTGATCTGATTTACATTGGTTGTCCTACAGAATTTATCACATAAATATTTACAAGATCTTGTCTTTCCCTCCCAAGGCTGGGTTAAATTAAAACAAGGAATGAAATTAGGTGGGCTTAGTACCTTGACCTTATAAAATGGGCCTGCAGAACAATTTAAACATACAATGGCATCTGGAATTTTAGCAAAATTACTTGTAGGGTGAGCTAAAGGGTCATTATTGTCCTGCACAGATTGAGGTTTCTCATGGTAAATACAGCAATCACAGAGGTTTCTCCTTTTGTGAGGGGTTGGGAAATAGGGAGAAGGGTTTCATCCTTCCATAGAAGGGAGGGAGAGCAGTGAGAGACAGCAGTGAAAGAAAAGTGTACAGGCCTGGTCCAGACATTATGGGAAAGCATCTACCTCTGATTTTGGCCACTTCTCTTCCTCGCCAATTTGATTTGGAGGTCCCCAGCACCTCCACAGGACTAGATGTCAGGTGTAGCACTCTTTAGCTGTGAGATGTGTACCCAAGGCTTGAGTCCCTGAAATTTGGCTGCCATCTGCATAGTGAGCAGGACCTAGTATAGCCCCTTCCAAGGATATTTCAAGGGCAGTAAAAATGGGAAATCTTAGTTTGGAGTATCATAGCCAGACATTTAAGAAAACTGGAAGAATTTAGGATCCAGTCCAGCTTACAGGTATATAAAAAAGCCTTAAAGACAATTAATAGGACTAGAATTTAATATCTACAAAGGTGAAAACATAACTTGTCTTTCCACAATTATGCTCATTTTTATTAAAGATAATCACAGTAAAACTAATTTGTTTGAATTAAACTTGGCCTGATTATTTATATAAATGCAGCAAAAACAGCAAGTGACCATATAAGATCTTTTTGAAAAATTGCTTTGCTGAAAGCTTATAAGCAAGGTAACTAGGCCAATTTTTCTGAGCAGTTCCTTACAGCTGTCTGGTCATTTCTGAGTCTATGTACATCTTTCTTGAAGATGACATTTTAGTCAAAGCCTTGGTAATGTAGCCAATGCTTCCAATTGTGTACTGTTACAAGGAAAACAGCCCTTCACTGAACCCATGCAAATACATATATTGTCATGAAAAGAATACTGAAGAGTTTCTGAATTCTGGAGGGATCAGGTAGAGAGAAAAAGATAAGTGTTTCAACCCTTGTTGTAAAGATACAATTTATGAATTGTTGTAAGTTACAGAGAACTTAAAGGAGAGGAGAAAAGGGGATCCTTTACATCTGGAAAACAAAACATCAAAGCAATCAGTCCTCTACTCGAGTTCCGGAAATTCCCACCCAACTCAGTGTTTGATCTTAAAGTTGTCAAAACCTATATTCCAGAGTACTTGTCAAAATCTTTTCTGTGCATCTCTTTGAGAATGAAACCTATTTGTAAAAGCATCAGAGCAAAACAATAATTGTCTGTAACCAACAAATGACTTTTACAAAAGGCAACTGACAAGGAAATTTCAGCATTTTTGTCACATGCATTTTAGATTAACTAGAATTACAGATAACATTATACGAGGACATAATCTGTTTAGGAATTTTATACTATTTCTAGAACACTTTTTAGAAATGTTCACCCATAAAACATAGCCTAAAGAGATTTATTATTGCTTATTTAACCATGTGTCTCATGTAATTTGACAAACCAAATAAATCTTAACAGTGAAATCTCTCTCTTTTTACAAGGAGAGGGAACAAATCTTTTGAAATGTCCCAGGTGCCATCTGGAAAATCCCAAAGTTACATCCAGGTTGAAAAGACTTCACTTAGAATTTGAATATTTTGGGAAGCTTGTCAAAAAGTCAAATGGTTTGGACACTTTACCAAATAGGATCACTGATCATTATGAAATAATACTTAAGTATCTATTTGACCAAGTAAGAAATAAAAGGTTTCAAAGAAAAATACAAAAGATTACATGGTCATAAGCAAAAACTTAACTCCTTTAATACTAAGAAGACTCAGTTCTCTTAAGTAATTAAAGACCTCATAGAAACAACACAGAAAATTATTTTGATGAAACACAAAATCTCTGTTTTCTAGGCATATTACTTAAAGCTAAAGAAGCTTTCACAATCTGTTATCAAAAGCAGACCAACTGCCCAAGAACACCTTGTCCTTTCAACATAAAAGAAAGCCAAACTTCAGTTTTGCATCAGCTTTTTTTGGTATTAAACTCATTTTAATAAATTCATTTTAATCTTAGCCAGCTTGACCACACATTAAAATTCCTTTTCTAAGATTCCTTTCCATAAACATTTTATACATTTTTACACTTAGATTTTTTTCCTATGTTTTCCTCTTTCCTATTCCAAAATAACCAGCTTCTCTTTAGGACAAAAGTGCTTTCTTTTCCCTCAACAAAAAGCATTTCCATTCCTTATAACTTCTTTTATCAAAACACACATTTTAGGGGCTGGCCCCATGGCTGAGTGGTTAAGTTCACATGCTCTGAATTGCCGGCCCAGGGTTCCACTGGTTTGGATCCTGAGCACAGACCTAGCACTGCTCATCAAGCCATGCTGAGGCAGCGTCCCACATTGCAGAGCCAGAAGGACCTACAACTAGTATATACAACTATGTACTGGGGGGCTTTGGGGAGAAGAAGAAGAAGAAAAAGAGAGAGTTGGCAACAGATGTTAGAGCTCAGGTGCCAATCTTTAAAGAAAAACACACACACATTTTCCTTTCCTTGCATATGGAGATATTTCTCTTACTATTACATATATTAGAATCCTTAACCCTTAGAATCCTTAATTCCTAGTGAAAAGCTACAGAAGCAATTATGAACTATATTAGCATTTTGCGGCTTGGAGACCTTATAAGTACCTTTTATAAATTTCTAGAAACATGTACCTTTTTCCAGAGAAAATTTCTCGATGTGGCATAAAACATGTTCACTAATATACTCAAATATCTTTAGTTTCCCTGCAATAAGAAGCCAAGAGTAGATAAACTTATGTTCAGTAATTAATATTCATCTCATTTGGAAATGGTTTAGGTATTCAATGCCTATCCATTATTTAGTTTAACCTAGTATAAACTTTGATATTATTTACATTTACTTAAATTACTTGCTTTTAACAAACATGCTTGGATTTGACATTAGATCATCAACCAACCAGCATCTTAAGTTACTTTCTTGATGACAAATTTTGTTAACAGAGATAACAAACTTAATAAACCCAAGTAGAATGAAAGTAGTGTGTCTGCATTATACTCAGTGTTGATAACTTTAAAGACAAGCCTGTTTCAATAAACCGGTAACTTGAAGCTAGCTTTTAATTACTAAAGATTGATCCTAGATCACGTAAATTTGAGAGCAATTGAGTTAGTTTCCGAGGTTTTGGAATTCTTAATTTATAAGTGCTTAATTTTAAGCCAATTAAATAGAGTTCTTTCAAATCAATCAATCTTAGCAACACTATCCAGAGGTAGAAAAATATCACCTACATACATAGACATACATAACACGTAGACAGATGCAGTGATCTCATAGCTTTTGTTTTAAAAATTTCAGCCATGTCTCAGGTACAAAGTTCAAAGGAATTGTTGGATCCAAATTGTGTTTTTGGCAGGTGGACTAAGTTAAGGTTACTTGCTCAGATGTCAAGTTTCAGCACTAGAGGTGGTGCAGAAGGGAAGGAGGACGATGGCACCAGAAGTGGGGCCTGAGCATAAGATGAAGAAAACGGGGGATGGGAAAGAGAACCCTCAGAAGCCATTTTGTATTCCCTCAATTTTTTAGTTGTTTCAGCTAATTGAGATATGGTATCTTGTAATGTGCCAATTTTAGAGTTTGTGCATGTTCAGAAACCTCTAGATACCAATTAAAATAAGCATAACATTCATTTTACTTAATTTTAGAGGTGTAGTCTTCCAATTTGGTTTGAAGAAAAATAACTTTGGGGAGATGGAAAGTTCTCCATGATGGCCATTGTAATTCTGGACTACTCTTGGTCTGTTTGGCCCACTTCGTGAAAAACATGCATGGAGGGGGCCCAAAGTTCTTAAACATAAACCCAGTCAGGATCCCTGAAGGAACTTTTCCATTAGAACAGTTAAATGACTGGGATCCCATTTCTGAAATTTCCTCTGAAAACCCAAGAAAGTTGCTAGAGTCCTAGCCCTGATTCCCAAAGGAATCAGAAAACTACTGGACTTTCAGCAAGGCCAAGCCCCACAAGAAACTGTGCTACTTTCAGAAAACAACTGAGTATTCACCAAGGTCGACATCTTGAACCCAAGAACAGAGCCTGAACCAGGAGCACAAAGTTCTTCCCCCAAGGGAACAAAGCCTCTCCCAATCCTGAATAAAGTCAGAGAGCTCAGAACACAAAGGTAGGAGAACTCAAAATCTGAGAAGAGACTCACCAAACTGAAAGTAGGCAGGGACTCATGAAAGCGATGAACTCAAGGGGCTCGATGTGGGTATCTTGCTCAGTTCTGGGGGTTGTTGTCTCTTGGGGGTCGCCTCCTTTGGATCCCACTTTGAACACCAAATACGTCAACCTTAAAAATAAAACAGCCAGTTATTTTACCAGCAGAATGAGTTTATTCAGGAATGGTCAAAGAATTGAAATTTGGGATGTGCATGCTATGGCAGACCTTAGGCAAATCCAGAAATCAAAGAAGAGTAACACTATTTTATAGGGAGGAAAAAGGAGGATATTGGGAGGGGATGTTTTGAACAAAAGTCCATTGGAGAAAGGCAAGAGTTCAGGGTGGTGATGGTTTCTTATTGGCTGAGTGGCTGGGGTCGCTGATTTGTTTGGGATGCAATGTACATTTCTTCCTGTAATTAACAATTCTTTTTTGTTGACCTCTTTCATATGGGGTCTTTAACTGGCTATCTTCCAGTTGACAACTTCTTTCTGTTGGGGTCTGTAATTGACCATCCTTCCTGTAATTGATCTAGAGTGGTACTGCATGAGAGCTCCCCCTTTTGGCCTCCTGACTCCATTTTAAATGAAGTTTCCCTTTATTCATTTTCACAATACCAAAGTATGCACAGGGGAAATATCACAATGTCTCCACTTAAAAAAAAAAAAAAACTTCCAACAAATGTGGCATCTCTCTTTAAACCTATTAAAAAGGTGCTTGTTCTCATCCACTAACATAATTTTTGATTCATCAATCGACCATATTCCAGTTGTAAAAAACGCTCTACTTTATATACTAGAATAAAATAGCTGGGTCATAGGGAATGTGCACTCAAAAATCATTGCACAACTTTACACTTACAGTGTTCAGTAATTATTTGCCCAGAAACTCCCAAGATCCATTTATCCATTTACCTATCCATTTATCATATCTTAAGTTATTTATGTATTTTGGGGAGATAGACCTGAACTTGAGCTTCCCTTCCCTGGTTTCTGCCACAAACTAGGCAAGGAGTTCAGTGCAGAGGTTTCTCAAGAGTTCCCACTGCCAGCTCTAGTCCTCCCCAAGCCAGGATAGCCCTGCCTTGAGTGATGGGAGGTCCAGGCTGGGGGTGGAGATTGATTCTTGGCCCATGACTTTTCCCTGGTTTTCTCTTTACCGAAAGTATGACCTGCCCCATTCAAATGCCTTTATCTTCTCTGATCCTGCAGTTGCCCCCAGTGACTGTGTTCTGCAGATCCAGGAATGTCAGCTTTGACCTTCCCAGCCTAGGAACTTCCAGCTCAGGCCATAGAGACAATTGTGCATAAGCTGGCCTCAGGGTCATATTCCTTGAAAGAGAAAATGAACTTGCTGGGATCAAGAAGCCAGATGACACTATAGAGTAGTAGACTCTCGTCTCCTTTCCCAGGACTTACTTTTCCTAGGCTGATGATTCCCAGGCTCAGGGCCTACCATACCTCTGCCAGCAGGAACTCTTCACATTCTGAATGGGGATGTGGATTTCCTGAATAGGACGTCACTAAGGAGAAGAGGAAGTTGGAAGACAATACTTAGTGATTGTTGGGTAACCTTAAGCAACTCACTTTCTCTCTCTGGGTCTTAGGTATGCTTTCTGGTCAATGTTTGAAGTTTAGACTTTTGAGAACCTATTAAGTGACAGGAGTTCTTATGTTTAATTTGTACTGAACATAGAAGAATGACCAACATAGTTCATGTGGTAAAGATAAAGGTAGTGAGGACAAAGAAGTGGAATTAACTAATTAACAACATATCCCCAAATCAGGCGATATGATTTAAAACCCATTTGCAACAGAACCACACTCATTACCCACCTGGAAAAAGCCTTGGAGAGCTGGAAACTCTTAGATTTGGCCACCCTTAATTGAGCTTTAAACTGTGCCAGTTGGGTTCTGGGCACTTTGCTCCATTATGACAGTATCACAGATGCCAACATCACCTTTGCTAGCTGTGCACCCATAGCCCCTTGGCTTTAAAGATATTTGCAAGCCAAACTCCCAGGCCTAATGCTGCCTTCAAATTACAAGTAGCTCATGATCCTGGTATAATCCTTCCTCTCTGCTAAAACCTACACCACTACACTCTCATGTCTAAAGGGAAATTTGGTAGTGGTTACTATTGTCTGTGCCATCCTAAAAATTACTGGGGATTATTACTTTCCCCAGGAGGCAACTGCCTCATATCAGTTAACCTCTCCACCCCCTGGGGAGAGGACAACCCACTCCCCAGAAACTCTTATTCTCCTGCTCCAGCTTTCCACCATGAACTCCTGTCCTCATTCTCTGACCATGACCACCACAACCACCACTTTCCCTTGTGTTATGAACTAAATATTTACGTCCCCCTCAAATCTATATGTTGAAGCTTTAACCCACAAGGTGACGATGCCTGGAGATGGGATATCTGGGAGGTAATTAGAATTATATTATGTCATGACAGTTGGGCATTTGTGATGTTTGTGACCTTACAAGAAGAGGAAGAGAGAGCACTCTCTTTCCCTGTGCATGCACCACGGAAAGGTCATGTGAAAACATAACGAGAATGTGACCAGAAAGAGAGTCCTCACCTGAACCAAACTGGTCAGCGCCTTGATCTGGGACTCCCCAGCGTCCAGAACTATAAGCAACAAATTTCTATTGTTTAATCCACCCAGTCTATGATATGCTGTAATGGCAGCCTGAGCAGACTGAGACAGATTGTGGTACCAGGAGTGGGGTGCTTCTGTAAAGAATACCTAAACATTTGGAAATGCATTTAGAACTGTGTCATGGGTAAACGCTGAAAGAATTCTGAGGTGCATCCTAGGAAAATGGATGTTAAGGGTGATTTTGGTGACCAAATGAGGAACATGGAAAGTGGAGGAAAGGCAATCCTTATTATAATGGGATCAAAGCAAAAATTCATCAAATCACATAGGAAGAAAGAAACAAAGGAAATACAAAACAACCAGAAAACAAACAAAATGGCAATAGCAAGTCCTTACCTATCAATAATCACTTTAAGTGTAAATGGACTAAATTCTCCTATAAAAGACATAGAGCAGCGAATGGATAGAAAAACAAGACCCAACTATATGCTGCCTACAAAGGACTCACTTCAGCTTTAAGGACACACCTATACAAACAGTCAAGGAATAGAAAAGATATTCCATGTACATTGAAACCAAAATAGAGCAGGGGTAGCTATACTTAGATAAATCAGACTTTAAGTGAAAAATTGTAACAAGAGACAAAGAAAGTAATCATATAATGATAAGGAGTCAATTCATCAAGAGATACACAATTGTAAATATTTATGCACCCAACATCATAGTACATAAATATATAAAGCAAATATTAACGGATCTGAAAGAGAAATAGAAAGTAATACAATAATAGTAGGGGACTTCAATACTCCAATTTCAACAATGAATAGATCATTCAGACAGAAAATTAACAAGAAACATTGGACCTGAACTACACGTTAGACCAAATGGACCTTACATACATATACAGAACATTCCATCCAACAGTAGCAGAATACACATTCTTCTCAAACACACATGTAACATCCTCTAGAATAGGTCATATATTAGGCCACAAAGCAAGCCTTAACAAATTTAAGAAGACCGAAATCCTATCAAGTATCAAGTATCTTTCCCAACCACAAGGGTATGAAAGTAGACATCATTAACCGAACAAAAATTGGAATATTCACAAATATGTGGAAATTAAACAACATACTCCCGAAGAACCAATGAGTCAAAAAAGAATTCAAAAACGAAATCAAAAGTTATCTTGTGACAAATGAAAATGAAAAACATCATACCAAAACTTAAGGAATGCAGGAAAAGCAGTTCTAAAAGGGAAGTTTATAGCAAAAAAAATGCCTACATTTTAAAAAAAGCAAGATATTAAATAAACAACCTAACTTTACACCTCAAGAAACGAGAAAAAGGAGAAAAAAACTAAGCCAAGAGATAGCAGATGGAAGGAAATAATGAAGATTAGAGCAGAAATAAATAAAACAGAAACCAGAAAAACAGAAAAAATCAACAAAATTAAGATCTGGTTTTTTAAAGACACAAAAATTGACAAATATTTAGCAAGACTACTAAGAAAAAAGAAAGAAGATTCGAATAAATAAAATTACAAATGATAATTGAGACATTACAAATGATACAGCAGAAATATGAAGGATCATAAGAGACTACTATGAAAAATTATATGCCAATGAATTGGATAACCTAGAAGAAATGGAAAAATTCCTGGAAATAACCTACCAAAACTGAATCATGTAGAATTAGAAAATCTGAAAAGATTTATTTATTTTTCCTAAAGACTGACACCTGAGCTAACATCTGTTGCCAATCTTCTCTTTTTTTCTTCTTCTTCTTCTTCTCCCTGAAGCTCCCCAGAACATAGTTGTACATTTCAGTTTTAGGTCTTTCTGGCTCTGCTATGTGAGACGTCACCTCAGCATGACATGACGAGCGGTGCTAGGTCTGTGCCCAGGATCTGAACCAGCGAAACCCTGGGCTGCCGAAGCAGAGTGAGTGAACTTAACCACTCAGCCACGGGGCTGGCCCCTGAATAGATTTATAACTAGTAAGGAAGTTGAATTAGTAATCAAAAATCTTCCAACTAGGACCAGATGGCTTCACAGGTGAGTTGTACCAAACATTTAAAGAATTAACTCGAATCCTTCTCAAACTCTTCCCAAAAAAGTGGAAAGGAGGGAACACTCCTAAATTTATTTTGCAAGGCCAGCATTATGCTTATACCAAAGCCAGCTAAAGACAGTACGAGAAAAGAAAAGTACAAGCCAATATCCCTGATGAACATAGATGCAGAAATCCTCAACAAAATACTAGCAATCTTAATTCAACAGCATATTAAAAGATCATGCTTTAATTAAGTGGAATTTATCCCTGGGATGCAACGATGGTTTGACATATGCAAATCAATAAATGTGATATAACACATTAGCAGAATGAAGGATAAAAACCATATGATCATCTCAATAGATGCAGACAAAGCATTTGATAAAATCCAACATCCTTTCATGATAAAAATTCTCAACAAATTAGGTCCGGAAGGAATGTAGCTTAATATAATAAAGGCCATATATAACAAGTGCACAGACAGCAAACTCAATGATGAAAAGCTGAAAGCTCTTCCTCTAAGATCAGAAACAAGACGAGGATGCCCGCTCTCATCACTTCTATTCAACATAGTACTAGAAGTCCCAGCCAGAGCAGTTAGAAAAGAAAAGAAATAAAAGATATCCAAATTTGGAGGAAGGAAGTAAAATTGTCTCTGTTTGCAGATGACATGATCTTATATATAGAAAATCGTAAAGCTTCCCCAAAAAGAAACTGTTAGAACTGATAAATGAACTCCGTAAAGTTTCAGGATACAAAAATCAACATTAAAAAATCAGCTGCATTTCTATGTACTGACAACAAACTATCCAAAAAAGGAATTAAGGAAACAATCTCATTTACAATAGTATCAAAAACAATAAAATACTTAGCAATAAATTTAACCAAGAATGTGAAAGATCTGTACACTGAAAACTATAAAACAGTGATGAAAGAAAGTTGAAAAGACACAAATAAATGGAAAGACAGCCTATGTTCTTGGAATGGAAGGGTTAATACTGTTGCAGTATTCCTACCACCCAAAGGGATCTACTGATTCAATGCAATTTCTATCAAAACTCCAATGGCATTTTTCATAGAAATAAAAAAACAGCACTAAAATTCACAGAGAATCACAAAAGAGCACGAATGGATAAAGCAATCTTGAGCAAGAAGAACAAAGCTGGAGGCATGACATTGCCTGATTTCAAAATATACTACAAAGCTATAGTGAATAAAACAGCATAGTACTGGCATAAAAACAGATATATAGAACTATGGAATAGAATAGGAAGCCCAAAGTTAAATACACACATTTATAGTCAACTGATATTTGCCAAACATGCCCAAGAACACACAATGGGGAAAGGACAGTGTCTTCAATAAACAGTGTTGGGGAAACTGGATCTCCACATTCAGAAGAATGAAATAGGACCCTATCTCATACCATTTACAAAAATCAACTCAAAATGGATTAAAGATTTAAATTTTGAGATGGTAAAACTTTTAGAAGAAATCATTTAGAAATGGCTTTTTGACATTGGTCTGGGCAATGACTTTTTGGATTTTACCTCAAAAGCACAGGCAAAAAAGCAAAAATAGACAAATGAGAAGACCACCCACAGAATGGGAGAAAATATTTGTTATCCATACATCTGACAAGGGGTTAATATCCAAAATATATAAAGGATTCAAACAAATCTATAGCAAGAAAAAACTGGAATAAAAACTGGGCAAAGGACCTGAATAGACATTTCTCAAAAGACACTCAAATAGCCAACGGATATATGAAAACGTGCTCAACATCACTAATCATCAGGAAAATACAAATCAAAACCACAATTCCATATCACCCTACACCTGTTAGAATGGCTATTATCAAAAAGAAGAGATTACAAATGTTGGTGAGGATGTGGAGAAAAGGAAAGCCTTGCACACTTGTTGGAATGTAAATTGGTACAGCCATTATGAAAAAAAGTTTGGAGCTTATAACAATTTTAAATGATCCAGTAATCCCACTTTTGGGTGTATATTCAAATGCAATGAAATCAGGGTCTTGAAAAGATGTCTGCACTTCCATGTTCATTGAAGGATTATTCATAATAGCCAAGTATGGAAACTACCTCATGTCCATCAACAGATGAAGGGATAAAGAAATTCTGTCATTTTCAACAACATGTATGAACCTGGAGGACATTACATTAAGTGAAATGATCTCATTTATATGTGGAATTTTAAAAGGTCAAGTTCATAGAAGCAGAGAGTAGAATGGTGGTTTCTAGGGGCTAGGAAGTAGACAAAATGGGAAGATGTTGCTCATAGGGTACAAAGTTTCAGTAAGGCAGGATGAATAAGTTTTGGAGGTCTAATGTACGGCATGGTGACTACAGTTAATAACACTACTGAAACGTATACTTGAAATTTTCTAAGAGTATAGATCGTAATTGTTTCCACCACATACAAAAGAGGTAACTACGTGAGGTGATAAATATGTTAATTAGCTAGGTTATGGTAATCATTTCATGATGTATACATATATCATAACACGATGTTGTACGTTGTCAATTGTACGTCATTAAAGCTAGAAAAAAATTTTAACTTGAGAGAAATGATTTTGAACCAAGAATGCTGCTTCGAGGCAAGACTTTCATAATTTGTGATGGGAAATTAAAGATAATTTAAGGGACAAAACTAAGCAAACTAACAAACAACAGAAATTCATTCTCTCACACTTCTGGCGGACAGAAGTGCAAGATCGGGGTCACCGGGTTGACATCAAAGTGTCGGCAGGTCCACGCTCCCTCCAGAAGCTCTAGGGGAGAATCCCTTTCTTGCCTTTTCTGGCGTCTGGTGGCTGCTGGGACTCCTGAGGCCACACCACTCCCATCTTTCCCACGGCGGATGCGCCAGGTTCTCCTCTTCTGTGCATGTCATCCTCCCTCTGCCTCTCACTTACGAGAACTCCTGTGAGTGCATTCAGGGCCCACCTGGGTAATCCAGCATAATCTCACCTGCAAATCCTGACCTCAATCACCTCTGCAGAAGCCTTCTCGGTGTAAGGTAACATCCACGTACCAGGGATTGAGGGCTGGTATCTCTGGGGGACGTTATTCAGCATTCCACATCTGGAGAGATCTTTTAGCTTTCAAACTGATTTAAGGAGGAAATGCTGGCTCCCACAGGGCTTTTGTGGTTGGTTTATTTCACAGCAACAGGTGATTTACAGAGAATTTGGTACCTATAAACAGGTGTTGCCTCAGCAAATCCTAAAACACGTGCATTGGTTTTGGGACCAGGTGGCAGGTGAAGGCTGAAGGGCCCCAAGACCTTTAATGGGAGCTTGAAGGACAGTTCGGAAACCTGAGGCTTGAGGAAATGTCCTGTTATGTAGTGGTGAAAACTTTGGCAACTGCTGACTGTGGTAACGTGTAAACTGGCACAAAGAACTCCAGGTAGACTTGAAAGTACCAAATGTGTCTGTTATCCACCGCATCAGGGAGGGTGTGCTCAGCTTCCAGAAGCCACAGCAGTAATTTGAATCGGGAAATTTGAACAGAAAGAATGAACCACGAGAGGTTACCATATGGGAAATTACTCGAGAAACCTTATTAAAATGGAGTCGGGAGGCCAGAAGGGGGAGCTCTCATGCCCTACGTTGAAAGGAGAGCCCGACAGGAAGACTTCCTCTTCTTGACCAGCAAGCTCAGCCCATGGGAGACTGGCACAACTCAGCCAGTGAAAGGCCACTACACCTGGGACTTTGTCCACAACAGCCCTCTCAGCTTCCTCCTCCCCTCCGTAGAGTGTCTCCTTCCTTTGTTGCAGGGGACTTACATGTGGCTCACCGTGGTTGCAGATCCCAAATGGCAATTCTTTGCTGACCCCGAAATAAACCATTTTTGTTGGAGAAATAACTGGCTATTCATTTAAGGTCAACACGATTAAAAGGTATAAAGAAGTCGTCCTGAGATACACAGAGGCAGCCACTGCAGTAAGTGGCTGCCAGCTCAACAGCTGAGGGCGGGTGAGCACGGAGGAGGTCCTGGGAAGGCTGACATTTGCACTTGAGGCACGGTGGCCCCGGGAATGTGGCCCTGCCTCTCTGGTAACAAAACGCTCGAGGGAGGCCTCTGGCCAGGGATATGTGACAGTTGTTGCCACCGTGCTTGCAAAGAAAGGTGCCAAAAAGTGCAAGCCACCACTGAGGAAGGAAGACCAGCGGTATGAACCATGCCAGGGTCTCCCTCCTGCCCCACCTTCACCCAGCTATGCTCACACCGCATGGATACCTGCCACAGAAGGAAGAACAAACTCCATCTTCCTGCTCAGGTTGCAACCTCCCTCCAGGCCCTTTCCTGTGAAAGTCAAAGATTTTGTCAGCTGGGAAAGGAGAAATGTAGTGCCAGCATCCCAGAGCAGAGCAACCAAGGGTGGGTTTCTAGCTGAGACAAAAACTCACAGCTGGCAGTCACATACCATAAGGCATGGATTGAGGGAAATGAACCAAAAATGAGAAATTGTTCAGTTTTAAAGAAGAATCTAGACAAAATACAAAGGAGCCAGGACTAGCTTCGTTTGAAAATAAAGCTGTTCCTCCTCCCCAGCTCCTCCAGTCAGAACAGGATTATCGAAGTAGGAAGTGGCTTCAGGTTACAGATCAATTTCAGGATGCTACCAGAAAATACAGCCTCAGAGTCAATCTCCGGCCAAGGGCGTTGCTGTAAGGCCCTTTCTTGAAACTCTAAGAATGTCCCTTGTAGGTCCTCACAAATAGGTGAGAAATAGGGCTTTTACAAATCTTAGGGGCCCTGTCCCCACATCACTCTCAGTTCGAGGTGGACTGAATCCTGTTCCAGAGAAAATGTGGGTGTGGCTTTCACCTAATGGAGAGGACTATAATTTGGTACATCAGAAATCCAAAAAGTTTTTAAAAGGAATTAGATCAATTCGAAATACAAGATTTAGAAAAAGTTGTAATGAAAAGAGCCTGGGCAGGAAGTAGGACTGAAGGATCCAGTCGGTTACAAAATCAGGCTAGGTGCTGTGGAAAAGGGAGGATGCCTCAGAGCACAGGGTCCAGAGCCTTGGAAATAATGCCCAGAACCACTGCGCCTGGTCAAGGACCTGATGGTGTGCCTGCTGCACCTCAGAGTTTCTATGGACCAGCGACAGCTGACTCCTCCGGCCCCCTCCCCTTTGAAGGGACCATCTGTTGGTATCCCATCTCTGCCACCGTTGTGTGCTGAGTGTGTACAGCAGGGAACCGGTCCCTGTAGGTCACACCTTCAGACCAAGAGCAAACACACACAAGGAACTGTGCCCAAAGAGCCTGTGTGCTCAGAAGCGATAGAGGAGACAGAGGCTAGGTTCCAGCCTGCAGCTTTACAAGCTGATGTCTTTCTGAGACTTACGAGGGTGTGAATGTAGCAAAAGGAGAACCATCTCTTCCTGTCTTTTCTTTGAGGGGCTGTTCCCTACATGCCACAGAGTTTTCCTCATACCTCCCTGGACAGAGGTGGGTCACATGTCCAGCCCAAATGAATCAGAGAAAGAAAAGTTAGTTTAGCTAATCATAAAAAGCTAAATCAAGATAAATCCCTGATTGTGCAGAAGTAGGTAGGAAAATGAAATCAAGACTTTGGCAAAAAGTTGGAGATGGATCTTGTGTAGCCAAAGAAGTCTGTCTGAGCCTCTTACCAATTTATGAAAGTAATTTTGTAAACTATGATCATCACCATCGCAGCTAAAGAGCTCTACAGGTGCCAGGTAATATTGTAAGCACTTTACTTATCTATTTTACTCCCCCAATAACCCTTTGTGGCAGGTTTTAGTATTACTTCCTTTTCGAATATGAAGAAAGAGGCCCAGAGATGTGGAGGTCTAAGACCATGCAGCTCACAAGTGGTGAGCCTGGTTTTACCGTTGCCCCTATTAGCAGCAAGACACTACAGCACTCCAGCATTCAAAATGTGCAAGTCCTCAGTTACACGGCACATGGCTACAGGTACCCCTAGCTATGCCGCTGCTCCCTCAAAACATATGAGGAACAGGAAAGAAGGCAGTATTTTCCTTCAAGAGCCTACATTTCACTGAGTAGAATGAAGTAACTCACTTTGTTCACAGCTGTTTAAGTTAACAATTAAATATCTGATTTCTGTATTTCTATGTAAATGATGTTTCTAACAGTGCCACTGGCTGGCTGTTAGCTAAAAACTTTAGAAAAGAGATCTGCTTTACTTGAGACACTTTAGTAATAATTTCATACAAATTTACATACTAGGAGTAGAAAAAACCATGTAGTACAATAATTTAGACAACGTATTTACCAACATATAAGAGGTTAAGAGTGAAATTTGATATGGAAAACCCTAATGTAAGTCACAATACTTACTAAGGGTATATACTCCCTACACACAATTACACTGGGTTCCATTAAGCAAAACTTCTGTTAACATAGAATGCTCATACACAGAAACCCAACATGCCTCATGTGTACCATTGGGAATAGTTCAAATTTTGTGCATAAACACAATAGGCACAGGGAACAGTTCTAGAGCAGGATTTTTCAGCTCTGGCACTATTAGTATTGTGGCCTATTCACTCTTCGCTGTGGAGGCTGCTTGGTGCACTGCTGGCTGTTGAGCAGCATCTCTGGCCTCCAGCCATTAGAGGCCAGTAGTGCTCCCAGTCCCAAGTTATGGCAACCAAAGACATCTCCAGATTGTCAAATATCACCACCAGCAGATAACCATGGATATGTAATCGTTTTTTAAAAATATTTCAATAATACATTTAATGTTTCTACTTGAAAATCTTCACCCTTACTACCTAAATCGATAGTTTTCCCTTTACAAATTCTGATCCATAAAAAAGTTGTAGCTTTGTTGAAAACCTTGACACCTTAAAGATACTGTGTTTTCAGTGTTCACAAGATCCTCTGATAAAGGCATCCCCAAATTTGTTGTGTTGCTTTTCCCAAATGACTGCACTGATTTTTCTATAAAGACTAGGGGATGAAAGAACATAGCACAGGTTTCTCTACTGTGTGAATTTTCTGATATCCAAGGACTGGGAACCTCTCCCAGAATCCTCTCCAACATTGACAAAGTGAACAAGCTACAGTAGTGTTAGGTTGCAGTGCACACAGATAACAGAAGCCTCGGCTCCACAGCGTATTTCTGTCTCACTCCCCTAACTTACAAATGGAGATTTGGGGGTAGAACTTCTGTCTCAAGTCACTTACCATCTTCTGCCTATGGTTCCTGAGGCCACCATAGGTGTCACCTGCCCTTCACAATCACAGGCATGAGATATCAGAGAGGACAGCATGTAAGCTTTTTTCTGTGTGTGGAAGAGACCTGAATTAATGCTCATCACTTGTGTGTATGTTCCACTGACCAGAGCTCAGTTACATGGTCCCACCCATAGAAAATGGAAGCTGAGAAAAAGACTAACGGTGTGCCAAGAGAAATAGAAAGTGGGTCTTGGAGAACACACTGCCAGCGTCTACTACACGTGATTTCTCTCCTGTGTGAGTTCTCAGATGTTTGCTGAGGTGTGATTTCTGGCAAAAGGTTTTTCCACATTGGTTACATTCATAGGGCTTCTCTCCCGTGTGAGTTCTCTGATGTACAGTGAGGGCTGACCTCCGACAGAAACTTTTCCAACATTCTTTACATTCGTAGGGTTTCTCTCCTGTGTGAGTTCTCTGATGTACAGTGAGGGCTGACCTCCCACAGAAAGTTTTCCTACATTCTTGACATTCATGCAGTTTCTCTCCTGTGTGAGTTCTCTGATGTACTGTGAGAGCTGACTTCTCATAGAAGGTTTTTCCACATTCTTTACATTCATAAGGTTTCTCCCCTGTGTGTGTTCTCAGATGTACAGTGAGTTTTGTTTTCACAAAGAAGGATTTCCCACATTCATAACATTCATAGGGTTTTTCCCCTGTGTGGATTCTCTGATGAACAGTTAGGTGTGATTTATGGCAGAAAGATTTGTCACATTCATCACATGCATAGGGTTTCTCCCCTGTATGAGTTCTCTGATGTATTGTAAGGACCGTTTTGCTAATAAAGGTTTTCTCACATTCACTACATTTATAGGGTTTCTCTCCTGTGTGTATTTTCTGATGTTTAGTGAGATTAGACTTCTTATAGAAAGTTTTACCACATACATTACATTGAAAAGTTTTTTCTCCTAACTGAATTCTCTGAAGCTGAGTGAACTGTAAGTTCTTGCTAAAATTATTCCCACTTTGATTATATTTATGGTGTTGCTCCTTGAAATCAGCTCTGTGAAGACTCAGTTGTGTTGGTTTCTCACAAACGGTCTTCCCCCATTCGTTACATCGATCGCGATCCTCCCCTACGTGACGTCTCTCTTGGGCAATGAGAGCTGACTCATCACAGGCTTGCCAGTGTCCATTATATCTACAGGCAGTGCCTCCCATGCGAGCCCTCCTATGTGTAAGGACTACTGCCTCCTTGTTGAAGCCTCTCCCTCGTCCACTAAATGCGGAAGCCTGCTGCACAGTTTGAGTCTCCTGAGGATGACTAGGACGCTCAGCACATCTGAGGGATTCCCCGGTCACAGGACAGTCCTCAGCTTTCTCTCCAGCAGGCATCTCATCAGGCGCACTACGGAGAAAGGTGTTCTCAAACGCATTAAACTCCTCTGGCTTCATTCCTGAACAGTTTCCACTATTTATAATCAGTTTTGAAATACAGATTGAGCTCAGATTACACGTTTTTCCTAAGTCAGTTCTCTCCTTAGTTGATGTTTTGCTGTTGGTGATTACAGCTTGCCACAAACGTCTGCCGTAATTTTCCTGGCTGGTCTCCATCAGGTCACCCACAGTCTGCACATCTAAAACGAGATGAAAATAACCATACCCATGAACCACACCTAAGCATTTCTCATGGAATGCTCACATAAAGGCAAATAGGTTTCCTTCTGTTCCAGTGGAACAAGACTCCTTAGAAATCAATAATAGGTACTGATTTTATGAGGAGTGTATGATTCTTCTCCCTACTGAATTAATGTAACAAATTTTGTTAATAGATTTTCTAATGTCAAATCATGTTTTTTTTTCTTTTTTAATTCATGAAAAATATTTCGTCAAAATATTCGCCTACTCTCCAGATGTAGATTTCAGTTGAGAACTTTTCACCCACAATGTTTCCATTCTTTTCTCTATTTTATTATCATAATAACTACAGGTATCTTGTGCTAGTCCTTCTCTGGTCATTTGGCCTTGAAGATGGCATAATTTTCCTTGATCAGCTACTTACAGAATACGAGGGAGGGCCATTCATCTGTCACCTAAGCAATATTACTGCTCAGGGACAAGAATTTTCCACCTATATTTGTTTAGTTTTACTCCTCCATGGGAAATGGCTATATACATCTGGGAGGTTTTTCAAATGCATAATCTTTCTTCTCTATTCCATACAAATACAGCTGCCTGCAGATTTTGAATTTTAACCTTATATCCTGTACTTCTCAGAACCGTAACAGGTACAGGAGACTCTAGTTTCCCACACTGGGCTACCTCTCTCTGCTGCTCTAAAGGATTTATGTTCTGACACCCATGCTGTGCCCACCATCTTTGAAAAGTCTTTTTCCTGTTCCTTCTTAGTTCAACAGTCATGGTGTTCTTACTTCACTTCCTGGTATGTGCACCCTTGCTTGATAATTCATTGTTTCTGAAGGCTTGTATTTTATGCTTTAGAGTGTCAGCTGTCTCCTAGTTTCAATGACAATGGGGTCCAGGTATGGATCTTATTCTCTGCTGTTTTACAATGACTTCATATGAGCAACTCCATCCTGAAACCCTTGGTTCCATTGGCCTTGAGAAATCATGATTTCCTGGTTCTCCTCCCATGTCACCACCCCTTTCCATGCCGAAAGCTTTGCAGTGTCCTTCTCAGATTCATGATATCTGTCATTTCACGACTGAGAAGGCTTGGTCCTATATTCCTCTCATTTTCTTAACAACTCCCTAGGTGATTTGCTCTAATTCTATGCCTTTAAATGCCAGGTAAGCTAGTGATATTTCACATCTTCTAATAGTGATGTCCACTTTCTAGTGCAGATATATCCCCCTATGTGTTATGAGTCATTTTGGAAAACAGTCATCTCAACAAACTATCCCAAATTAAATATTTAATAATGATCTCAAACTTAAGCTATCCCAAAGTAAATCCTTAAAAATCTCCTCTAAAACTACTTTTTTAAAGCTTCCTTCCTAAGATAACACAGCCCATTTTTCTCTCTCTCACCATGGTGAAACATTTTTGTGGTTTTTATCCCACTAATTAACATATTGTATATTTGTTTTATTCTGACTTGCAATATACTATAATCTCTTTAAAAGTAGGGACATCAGGAGGAAATATTTGCAAATCATGTATCTGATAAGAGGTTAATTTCTGAAATATATAAACATACAACTCAATAACAAAAAATGAACAACCTGATCAACAAATAGGCAGAGGATATGAAAGAACAGGCATTTTTCCAAAGAAGATACACAGATGGTTAACAGGCACATGATGTTCAGCGTGACTCATTATTAGGGAAATGCAAATCAAAACCACAATGAGGTATCACCTCACACCTGTCAGAATGGCTATTAACAAGACAAGAAATAACAAATGTTGGAGAGGACGTGAAGAAAAGGGAACCCTCATATGCTGCTGGTGGGAATGCAAACTGGTGCAGCCACTATGGAAAACAGTGTGGTGATTCCTCAAAAAATTAAAAACAGAAATATCACATGACCCAGTCATTCCACTACTGGGTATTTATCCAAAGAACATGAAATCAACAATCAAAGAGACTTATGTACCCCATTTCATTGTGGCATATTCACATCAGCCACGGTGTGGAAGCAACCCAAGTGCCCATCAATGGATGAATGGATAAGAAGACATAGTGTGTGTATATATATATAGAATAGAATACTACTTGGCCATAAAAAAGACAAAGACAAACACAAAATCATGCCCTTTGCGACAGCATGGATGGACCTTGAGGGTATTATGCTAAGCGAAATAAGTCAGAGAAAGACAAATACTGTATGATTCCACTCATATGCGGAAGATAAACAAACACACAGATAAGAACAGATTAATGGTTAGAGGAGAAGGGGACCAGAGGAGGGCAAAAGGGATAAAGGGGCACATATGTGTGATGACAGATAAAAACTGGACGATTGGTAGTGAACACAATGCAGTCTATACAGAACCTGAAATATAATAATGTACAACTGAAATCTACGCAATGTTTTAAGCCAACATGACACCAATAAAATCATAAAATAAATACAGTAATAAAAGGAGGGACATTTGATTACTGTTGTTATCCCTAAACTACAAAATGACCAGCCTACAAACTGCTCAGTTAACATGTGTTGAAAGAATAAATGAATGTACGAAAGAATGCCTGAAAGAAAACAGTGAATGAGAATGGAGGAAAGGAGGGCATCTGAGAACCCAGAGAATCTGATTAACGAAGAAAAAGTTGTAAGAGGAGGCAAGTAGGGATTGGATTTGGGTAGACAGAAGTTATTAAGAAAAACAAAGGGAGGCGGTTTATGCATCTTTGGAGACTGAATAACACACATGTCTGATGCATTATTCACCAGCTCTGGACCTGGGGAAAACCACAGGTGAAAATTAGGTCAGCGCGGCCAACATCTGCCGTGCTCTCCTCTTCCCAGCCTCCCTGCCCAGCACGCATGGACCCACCTGGGAGGTTCTGGTTTGGGGGTGCTTCTACAGTCCACGGTTCTGCGTCTTGCTCCAACTTGACGATCACCTCAGGTTTGGTGATGCAATGCCCTGTTGATGAGAAATAATGTAGGACTTTTGCCAAACTGCTTGACGGCCTCTGAACAATGACAACTGCACAGCTGCAAGAGCTGTGTAACAAAGAGCAATTTGAACCTTTAACTGGAGGAGTGAACACACATATTCTTCTCGGCCTAGAATCGTAAACCTAAGTAGCATTTAATTTCATGAACAGTCACACAGTTACCAATAAAGGAAAAACGCTTGCGCTTGGCAGTTATTAGGAGAGTTTTGCTCACCCAATGACGCTAGGCTACTGTAGGTCTCCAGCATCACGTCTTTGTACAGGGTCCTCTGGGCATCATCCAGGTCCTGCCACTCCTCCCAGGTGAAGTGCACAGCCACATCCTCAAATGACACCAACCCCTGTAATGGCACATTTCTCAATTCATCAGCCTGGGTCAGAAGAACATGAAGCCTGGGAGTTCATTTTTTTGTGTGTATTTTGTCTTGTACAGGATGCGCCACGCTTTGTACTCTATATTGTGGGATAAAGAGTAATCACAGCAGAAATATCCTACCTCTGTGTTTATTCACTAGTTCCTAAAAGTACTACCATACAGTTTCCCTTCTAAATCTGGGACTGTCCTTATTGCTAGGGATAAACGGATGAATAAAATTCTGCTCCTCAAAGGAGCCTATGATCTGGTATGGAGACAGGGATAAATGCACACCTGGAATAATGTGTTAGATGAAGGAGGCTCGACACATGTTCAAGGTAGACTGGGGTATTAAAGAGGCAGAAAAACAGTTGTTCCTTGTACTACCAGGTTGTGCTTCACTGAAGAGCCAAACATGTTAGCTGTTCAACGTGAACCACATGTTCTTGTGGATATGAGGCAACAGCAGAAGTCATGAGGGCAGGAAGAACACACACCACAGTAATGGAAGTACACACAGCACCGTGTCCAGGAGAGTGCTCTTGGGCTGTGATGAGATTAAGGCACTAAAGGTATTTAAGAAACTGATTGTAGAGCAACTCTGCATTTAAATATTTGACCTAATTCCAACAACAAGAAATTTGATGCACTCACCATGTTCTCTATTACTTATCAGTTAAAAGCATGTACACAGGCATTCTAAGATTTCCTTCCTATATCCCAAAGGGTTGCTTAAATCCACCCCAGGGTGAACAGCCCCCACTTCCTAAACCACAAGGTCTAAATAATGAGGGGCTGGTCCAAAGAGGCAAGTGACATGAGCGGATTTGCATTTTAATAGTCATCCCCTAGAAGGAGAATGGGCAAGGGCTTAACGGGAGAAGCAGAGGAGAAGAAACCAGAGGGAGAGATGACGACCTACATTGAGGCAACAGAGCAATAATACAGAACAGGGAACTAATGCTAAAAAAAAAAAAAGAAAAAAGAAGGAAAAGAATTTGCTGCTAATTTGCTCTGAAAAGGGTGAAGGGGGAGTTTTACAACCAGGGTGTCTACATGCCCAGCCAGGTGGATACTGGTGCTGTGAACTGAAACTGGGAAAGAAGGGTAAAGTGTATGATGGGCAGAAGAGACACAGATTTGGATATGTCATGTTTGAAGTCTCTGTGCTCAAACATGTGGGGAGGTCCAACTGGCAACTGGATATATGACCTAGAGCTCAGGAGAGAGACCTAAGCTGAAGATGAAAATTCGGGAAACAGGAGAATTTTTGCAGTAGCTGAAGCCATCAGAGTGAACAAAATGGCTCAAAGAGAACCTATGAGACTGAAAGGAGAAAAGGAATAACTACAGCGTTTTAGGAAACATCAATATTTCCTGAAGGAGAAACAGACCATGACAATGGAGAAGGAATTGTTAACAATCATTCTAGGAATAGAGCAAAACCTCAATATGAAGAAACCTATTAGTATATTTCATCATATTTATATTTCTGGGGATAAAAATCCTATGATCATCCACAAAGATACTGAGTAGGCATCTATAAAAATACCCTCCCAATTGTAGTAAAAACCTTCAACAAAAGGGGATTCTTCCTTAAAATGATAAAATCTGTGTCTTACCCCAAAAGCCAGCATCACACTTAATGAGGAAATACTGGAGGATAAGGATGCTCCATCACCACAGTAATTAAACATTTTACAAGCGGTAACAGTCAATGCAATTGAAAAGAGCAGTGAAAATAATCATGATTGTATAACTCATACCTAGAAAATCCAAGAGAGTCATGTGAAAACTACTCTATACAAGAAAATCCTATAAATTTAGAGACTAAAAATAATATACAAAAGTCTTCATATATACAAAAACACTTATAATACAACAACAGCAAAAAAAGCAAAATACCTTTCAATACATTTAACAAAAAACATACAAAACTATGTGAAGGGAGAAAAAACCTGAAGGATATAAAAAGAACTAAACAAATGTGAGACATACCATATTCATGGATAGGAAGAGTCCACATCATAAAGATACCATTTCTCCATAAGTCAGTAAATTAATATAACATTATCCTAATAAACGACACATTCTTAGATTTAGATAAGCTGATTTAAATGCTCAAGTAGAAAATTAAGCAAGAATACACAGAGCGTGGTAGGTTATATTTCTGTTCACCAAATTGCAGTGTCCCTTCCTGTATTAGTTAACTCTGGTTGCCATAACAAATGACATAGACTGAATGGCTTAACTGAAATTTCTTTTCTGCCTGTTCTGGAGGCTGGGAAGTCCAAGATCAAGTTGTCGGCCAGTTCCATTCCTGGTGAAGACTATCCTCCTGGCTTGCAGATGACCCCCTCTTACTGTGTCTTCTCATTGTGGAGAAACAGAGATCTCTCTCTTCCTCTTCTCATAAGGCCAACAATCCTATTGGATTGGGGCCCCACATTAGGACCTCACTTAACCATAATTACTTTCTAAAAGCACTATCTCCAAATACAGTTGCATTGGCAGTTAGGGCTGGCCTTCAACATAAATCCTAGGGGGATACACTTCAGCTCATAGCACTTCCTGTGGTACCCTTCTCTGCAGAAGGATTAAAATCTCTTTGAGGTGGAACTCACGGAGGCAAATTTGTAAGCCTCCATTTGCCTTGTTTTGACCAATAACATGTGAGTGAAGGTGATATGTGCCACTTGTAAGTACGAGTTGTAAGAGCCACACATAGATCACCATGTTCTCACTCTGCCACAAAGCCCAACAATATTACAGAAAGAAAAAGGTCCTTTGTCTGGGACACCAAGTGAAGCAGAAAGGAAAAAAACAAAGCTGACCCATGATGGATAGGTAGCATGAGTGAGAAAGAAACCTTTCTTGCTGACCTAACTGGTAAAGGAATTGGCACCATGCACCCAAACAAAAACAAACAACACCAACAACAGCAACAAGCAGTGCAGGAAACCTGGGAAAATGGTGATCTGTTATCCAGGGGCTAAATAATGGCTCACAGTGTCACACATGATAACTGGGACTGACATACTTCCTTAAGTAACATGAGTGATACTTATTAAGTCAAGTAACGTTTACCTCATGGGCTTAAAGCTTTAGGAAAAAATCTAGTAAAACAAAATGATAGTAGTAAATCTCAGCTACTAGTCACTGCCCTTAGTAAAGAACTATAGGAAAGCGATGAGCTCAAGGGGGCAGAGGGAGGAAGCCCAGTTTGGAAGAAAATTGGGAGATACTAAGAAATTGGGGTCTTGTAGGATTGAAAAACTCTCAAAGCAATTCACACTTTATCTTTTACTGTTTAAGGTTGATAAAGTTGCCTCTTCCAGTTCTTATAGGAAAAAGAATCTAAGAAATGCTTTGACAGTCAAGAATAGCTAAATTCAATTTCATGGAAGTAAAAACGGAAGTTATGGCCATGACATGTTACAATGTGACTGAACCTTGAAGACAATATACAAAATAAAATGTCAATCATAAAAAGACAAAAACTGCATGATTCCACTTATATCATGCTGCAACAGTAGTCAAATTCATAGAGGCAGAAAGTAAAATGGTGGCTGCCGGGGACTGAGCTAGAAGGGAAGAGGCAGGTAGTGTTTAACGAGTAGAGTTTCATTCAGAGAAGATGAAAAAATTCCAGAGATGGATGGTGGGAATGACTGCACAACAGTGTGAATGTGATCAGTGCCACTGAACTGTACTCTTAAAAACGGTTACGAGGGCAAATTTTAGATTATGTATATTTTATCAAAATAATAAAAAAGGTAAACAACTTTTCATTAAATTCTAGTCCACAATGAGACTTATGTTTGACGCACACATTTGTTTTTCCCTACTCAGTTTTAAGTGATTAGCTGATGTAGCAGAAGAATAAACAGTCTTTAACAGCGTTTGAAAACATGACAGACCATTTCTGTTCTAGCAACATCCAGTTATATAATAATAAAAGCTACAGACGGAATCGCTGACAATTATATGAACAAAAGTTAAAAATGATGAAAATCTGTGGTCCTTGCTTTTATTCTTTGTGTATCTCACTTGACTCCGTTCAAACATGACTCACTCACTCCTGAGTGCTCTGTGCCACAGGGACTCCTGAGGCTGCCACCACACACGCTGGCTGGCAGCAGAGCTCCAGAGGGATGGGACCTCATCACGTTCACATCCTTCCTGTTTTGCCAAGAATGACAGCTCCAAGGTAAAAAAGGAAGTTACTGTAGGGTCTGTGGGCACCAGCACAGACACTAGATAAAACTAAAGAACAAAGTAGCAGGACTTTAACGAGATTAAACCTGAGAGAGAGGGAGGGGTCCAGGAGAAATCCCATTTTGGTGGTTTGAGTCACTAGCTGGATGGAAGTAATATCATAGGAAGGGAAGAGAGGAAAATGTGGTTTTCATTTTGCATTTGTTGAGCTTGAGGTGCCTTCTGGAGAGCTACGAAGCAGCATCAACTGGGAGCTGAACCTGTGCTCTGAAGGCTGGGGAAGAGGCCCAAGCTGGAGAGAAACAAAACTGTCAAACCCCAGAGCCCCCCAACAGGTCAAGGAGAACTGCCGTGTGAAGAATGGGGCCCAGACTCGAACACTTGCAAGAGCCACATTCAGGAGAAGAAGAAACAAACAGAAGAATTCAGGGAAACACAGAAGAAATCATCAGAGAGGCCATGACAGAAGCTAAGACACGAGACCTTCCAGAAGATCATGGACTAAGGCATTTCAACACGGCAGAAGACTCGACTGAGGCAGAGACTACAGCATAACCACTGAATCTAACTATAATTAGGTTACTCGTGAGCTTTAGAAGAAACGAATGCAGACTACGGCGAGTAGGTTAAAGCACAAAGCAGCAGTGGAAATATTTGCCAGGAAATACAACCTTGAGGAGTCTGCTGCCCAACCTGCGTATACAGACTAGCTGACAGAAATGTGTGAAGAGTTATTTAAAGGACCCGCAGTCGACTCAATCCCCCAGACATTCCAAGTTCCTCTGTGCACCACGCAGGGCCTTCCAAAGGCTGTCTGGGGCCTCGCCATTTCAGCAACTCCAGAAGAACCTCACTAAGCAAGCTGCGCTTCAGCATGAGGTCAGACCACCACTGCAGAAGGCTGCGAGTGTTTACTTCGAGACTGGCAGGCAAACACCGCCCACCACCTCATCTACGCGACCATTAAAGACACTGTGTCAGACTTCTGTGCCTGCAGGCTTCCACGTCCAAGGAGATGTGGCACGCTTTCTTCTAGGGGTCCGTTCTCATCAGCTAATAAATGACTGCACAACATCTGTTTTTGGCCTTGACATCGGAAAGACCAGAGACCAATCTGCGCTCACCTTGGGTGACTCTAAGGTCACATAACCTGCCTGTATCTGCACACCACCTTTACCTTGTTTATGTCTATGTCCCTGAAGCTGAATTTCGCTCATTTCTACTTTCTCATTTCAACTTAGGAATGCTCATAAAGCTCATACAGCACAATGTAAAACAAGCTGAGGGAAAAATAAAGAAACAACTCACCAAAGATGTATCCATTTTCCGTTGCTCTTAGAAACACACAGAGGACTCTGGAAACAGAGCTGGAAGAGAAGGTGAATGGAGCGGAGTCATGAAAGGACTGGCCTGGGTTGCTCCTACATCCCAGATTCTCCTGTCCAAAGTTCTCCACACGTTAGCTAGAGAAGACAAAAAAAAAAAGAGAGAGAGAGAACCTTGCGTGGGACAATAGTACTTTATACCTTGAGAAGGGGCAGGGAAGACCCTGTCGAAGGAGTTACCCATATACCCTTACTTTGAAGAACTGAGACACAGAATTTATCCTTAAGTTAATGAAAACACATATTTCTTACTGATTTATCCACAGTTAACGGTAAGAATTAACTCAAAATTCTAAAGAGGCTTCTGTAGATAACTGCTTATTTAACACAGTTACATAATTCCTACCCATGGGGCATACCCCTAGATTAGTGTTTCCACAAGGACACCTGTGGTTTTCAAATAGCTAAACTTCACAGAAAGTACACATCTTACAGCACAACACTTTTGGCCCATGATTTGATAGGAAAAGATGCACATAATGCACATTCTTTGTGGCACACTGTCCCCGCAATGGTTCTCAATGCCTTGCTTCCCTGTATTCGTTTCCTCGTGAAGTCCCCTCTGATGATGACACGGGCTTTGCCATTTGACTTGCTCTGACTGTAGGGAAATCACAGCACATGGGAGGCAGACATACGATGAAAAGTACTTTTCTGCTAGAGCTTGCCTTCTTGGAACACTGTCACCTTGTGAAGTAACCCGGCGCTGCCCTGTTAGGGACACGGCTTAGCCAACAGCCGGCACAAACCAGCGAAAACAACAGATGAAGTCATCTTAAACCAAGCAGCCTCAGTCACGGCACCAGATGACGACAGCCTCACTGGTGATCCACGCATCACCAGCATAGACACTGACCAACTAGACCCAACCCAAATGCTGACCATAGAACTTCGGGCAAATGAAATGATTGTTTTTATTTTTCTTTGTAACCCAGAAAATTTTGGTTGCTTTGTTACATAGCAAATGCTAAGTGACACATCTAAACTCCCAAACTCAGGATGTTTTTAACAAAGTCACACGGGGGAGGAAGTCTTGAATTACATGCCAAATACAATCAGCAGAACTTCACAACCACATGCAGAACTTTCGAAAAGCTTCCGAATGTGCACTGGATGGACCTCAGAGAAGTTGCTGGAACTAAGATCATGCGAATCAGACAAACGACTGTTATTGTCTGCACATCAGAAGACTCCGTTTTACGTTTTTTACATCAGAAATGAGTCTTGTACTTCTTGGCAGGCATTGTACTGGGCTTTACTTACATTTAAAACATTGGTTTGAAGCAGAAGTGTGATTCATTCGAATTTTTCTTTTTTAAACAATGGAAAATAGGCTCCTGTTATTGTGCTATAGAATTTATGATTTTCAAGAAAAGATCACTGACATCACACGGGAAACACTTGCATTATTAACCCTTTGAGCGCAAATAACCCCCAGAAAGCAATGGGGAAAAAAGGACAGGCATGTTTCAAGCAAGTTCTTCTAAAACGATGTTTGCTCTAAGTTGGCTGCAGTTCCTAAAAATGATGTCAAAAGCAGATGAGTGGTTTGGCTTAACTTCGGCAAAGTGGATGGTATTAAACAAAAGCCAGGATGCCTGCTGTACACAAATACGAGCCCGGCAAATCACTTCTGTTCTCAAATGAAACCTTTTCATCTTTCTCATGAGGCAGAAATACCCTGACAAACCCTCCCTCAACCACGAGGAAGAACACTCAGGACAGAGGGAGCATCCCCCGGTCTCGAGGTATCAGATCTGATGACACAACGGGTTTGAGAGAGCGCAGATAACAAAAGAATGAGGGAGAGCGAAGGGATGGGAGTGTTAGGAAGCCCTGGAGACATTCTCTCGGTTGTGACGGGCGAACCCTCCAGCCCCAGACCACCCCTTCCTTCAAAACCACTCCCAGGAGGAACAATCCCTAGGCCTTCGACCACCCCTCTCAGCCCAGCACACGTCTCCGTCTGAAGGTCGGTCCAAACCCTCCACCGTCACCCAGCCTCGGAGAACTTCGGGAGGAGCAGCAGCACCCAAACCTTGGGCACTCGGGGCAGAAGCAGCAGTAACCGCCGGCCCTCCTCCTCCCCGCGAGTCCGCTGCCTCTGCCCTGAAGCGGGAGCGAGGCTTCAGCCACCGGTGCTGTCCTTCCGGGAGGATCACTGTTCGTAGGCCGCCTCCCCTCACACTGTATAACAGCTACCTTGTTCTCAGAAAGACAAGACCGCCACGCAGAGCACAACATGCCCCTCAACCCACGAGGCCTGGACAGTAGATCCTGTATAAACCTCCGGAAACGCAAACCGGGAGCGCTCGGCGGGCTGCCCGGGCAGGAGGGGACCTGACACTTCCCCTGCTGGAGCGACTCCACGAACCCCCACAAACAAGTGCCCCGGGAGCCTCGGTCCGCACGCACACCGCAGGGGCTCCCCCGGGCATCGGGCGTCTCACCAGGCGCCAGCGCGCTCGGGCACAGGAGCAGCCCCATAGCACCCAGCGGGGCGGCGTGGCCCGGACGGGGCCGCAGACCGCCCACCCCGCGCTCGCGCCGTCCGCACACAAACCCCGCCTCGACCCCCAGTTCACGAAGCTTCTGGAAGCCACGGCCAGCCTTCCAGAGCGCGCCTTCTCCGAGGAGCAATCACTGAAGCCACAGCCGAGCCGGCGCTTCACCAGCCGGTATCCGCGTCCCGGACGGTTCCCACCCACCGACCCTTTCGCTCGCCCCAGCGGAGCCACAGCCGTGCTCGCCCCGTGTCCCCGACCGCCCGCGACTCCTCCGTCACACTGCCACCAACCTCCAGGGGCACGGCATCCAGCCCAGCGCTTCCCCCGTCCCCAGAGCACCGGGCTCCGGAACTTCCGGGCGGAAGAGGGTGGGCGTGGGCGGGGCCGCACACGCGCAGAAGGAACCCGGAAGACTCCTTCCTAGAGTCCGGGTCGGGAGCGCGTCAGCGCAGGGCGAGACTACATTTCCCACAAGCCTCTTGGCGGGTTAGGAAGGGTCTGAGGACATTTTCTTTATTTGCATGGTGCTCTGTCTTGCTTCTCTGAGACCCAGAGGAGATGGGCGAGGTCTTGCCTGTAACCTACACTTGACAACCACTGGAGTTCTGGGTTGTTATTTGAATGCAAAGTAACCAATAACCACTCTATAGTTAAGAGAAATGAGGTCAGTTTACTTGAGCTGGAGTGAGGGTTGTAACCCAGGAAGGCCTTAGAAAGTGTTCCCTAGAAGCATGGTTTTCAGTACAGTCTTGTATCTTTTTTTTTTTTTTAAAGATTTTATTTTTTCCTTTTTCTCCCCAAAGCCCCCCAGTACATAGTTGTATATTCTTCGCTGTGGGTCCTTCTAGTTGTGGCATGTGGGACGCTGCCTCAGTGTGGTTTGATGAGCAGTGCCATGTCCGCGCCCAGGATTCGAACCAACGAAACACTGGGCCGCCTGCAGCAGAGTGTCAGAACTTAACCACTTGGCCACGGGGCCAGCCCCTTGTATCTTTTTAGAACAAAAAACATATATTAAACACACCCAGGTATATTTTCATCAAAATTTCAAAGAGGTATTCAGTTGCAAATTAGCAGGTCAACATGAGGTCATGTCAGGAAAGGGATTAATCCCAATAGGGCGTAGGTGGGGAAGTGTGCATTCTTATCTTTAGAGTGCATTCTTTCATAGTCAAGCAGGTGTACAACGTATGTTTGATAGGCTATAAGTCAGGCTTTTTGTTCAAACAAATCAGTTTTGAACTCAAAAAGTTACCCCATATACCTCAATATGTGAAAATCTCTTGTCATTTTTAAATCCAGATTTGACAAGCTGAAAGACATGTTGTGGGAGGAATGTGGAAATTCTGATGTGAGAGAAACATTCTAGGATCTTAAATGTTATTCCTAATTATATTAGCTTATGACAATGGTAATGGGGTTTTACATGGCACATCTGTTTTTCACTGTTGCATACTGTGGAAATTCATTTTAAATGAAACCTTAAGAAACACACAGGAGGCCCTGTTATGAGAGCTTTCACTCCTATCACACATTTAACTACACCAAAGAAGAAGTGACACACTTGCATCTCCAACAGGAAGTACAACCACTTTACTATGAAGGAAGATTTCTCTTCCACTCAGCAACAGCCAAGCCAAGGAGAAACTCTGCAGCCTAGCCAATGAGAAACACACAGCTCAGCTAATGAGAAACACCACAGATCAGCCCATAAGAAAGGAGACAGCTCGGCCAATGAGAAGCTATTGCCACTCCCATCTGTGAGTCTCCTCCAATGGACTTTCCTTTGGAACAGTCCCTTATTCTCCTTGTTTCCTCTATAGAAGGACCTCTCTCTTTTTTTCTCTGGATTTCTCTGTGGTTCTCCTTACACGCACATTCCAAATTGTAATCATTTGGCTGTTCTTGAATAAACCCATTTTGAGGTTGAAATAGCTAGTGAATTTGCTTTTGAGAACACTAAAACATGAATGGTGAAATATCACAATGTCTGTATTTTATTAAACTATTTAAACCAATATGACAACTGTTGTGACTTTGTTAAATTAACTTTTTTCAAGTAAGTCCCCAGCGTGTGGGATGGTGAGCCATAGTTCGACAAAAGACCACAAGGGAAAGTGGAATAGAGAAGCTTATTACTCAGAGCTCATGGAGAAGCTATATGGCATGCTCAGGGGCCACGAGGGGGGTCAAGGCACGGTGCAGCCAGAGTGTGGCAGCACCTGAGGCACGTGTCTTTATTAGGGTCTGCGATTTAAGTGTTTTGGGGTTCCTAGGTTAAGGCCGGATTGGTCAATTCAAAGCAAAAAGAGTGATGTTTTGGTAAGCCCTGTGGGGGTCTTCTCTAAGAAGCACAGAAGGGAAGGTCCCGGGAGGGAGAGAAGCTGTTGCTCCCAAGGGCTGCTGGGGAAGTCATATCAGGAACCTACATTTGTTTGTGACTCTGTGGACTGTTGTGTAGGGCATATGCTTACAGGAAGGACTAGTGTCAGCTCGAGGTTTCAGCAGGCCCCTTGGCCACACAAAATGGATGCTGAGGCAGCAATATCATGGAGTAGTTTAGCTAAACTCTTGACAGCAACGCTCCTTGAATTAATTTAAAAGATGCTAGTTCTCATCCACTAAAGTAATTTTTAAGCCATCAGTAGATGATATTCCACTCTTGGAAAACCTGCTCTACTGCATATACATGAATATAATAGCTGGGTCGTAGGATGGGTGCACTCCAAAATTGTTACGTAAATTTACACTTCCAGTGTCTGGCAATTATTCACCCAGAAACTCCAAATATCTATCCATTCATAAATCTACTTATGAAATCTTTACTTATTTTTCTGAGAGATGGACTTGAGTGTGCTCTTCCCTTCCCTGGTTTCTGCCACACACTAAATGAGGCATTCAACACAGTTTCTCACAGCTCCTGCTGCCACTGCTGCACCTCTACAAACAGGGGTAGACCTGGCTTGTTTGTTTGGGTGTATCAGGGCTTCAGTGGCAGGGGTGGGGACTGACTATCTGGCCCATGACCTATCTGATCTATCTCTGTTTTCTCTTTTCCTAAAGCATTACCTCCTCTGTTCAAAGTCATGTATTTTTTCCTGATCCTGCAATTGCCCCTCAGTGACTGCGTTATGCATATCTAGGTATCTCAGCCTTATCTTCTTATTTCCTTCTTCTGTCAGAATCTGGAATCCCTTCCTCAGTCCCCTGGATTCCATGGTCCTTTCTTAAACACCTATTGATGTGATACTTGGAGGTCCTTTAAATCCGGAATGATCGGCAGGAATGCGGGGGTAGGGCATCAATGCCTGATACTCATCTCTCCAGGATATGGAATGTCATTTCCTCTTTCTGTCGCCTCAGTCATCCCATCTGTAAAAACAGAGACAGTAATATAAGCTTGGATCTGTGAGCCTAACCCTGAGCATGCCTCTGACAATATATGGGCCAAGAATGGAATCGCTTTTCCCCATCTATGAATCTAAAGTCCTCAGAGCCAAGGAGAGGAGACTCAGGGATAATACCTAAGTGCTTCGAACTCTGGCCACAGAGACAGTTGTGCACTGCATAGATAAGTCTCAGGGGTGTATTTCATGAAGGAGAAAATGGACTTTCTGGGATCAAGGAGGTAGACTGATACCATGGAGTAGTGGGATCTCATGTCCTTTCCCAGGAATTGTTCCTCTGCTGTTTTTCAATAGGCTTGGGGCCAATTTACCTCTGGCAGCACAAATTGTATATACTTTCCTAGGGGGAAGCTCCAGAGTCCCTTGTATATCCACATGAATTTTAGGATTGGCCCATCAATTTCTGCAAAAAAGACAACTGGGATTTTGATAGAGATTCAGATAAATCTGTAGATCCATATGGAGAGTATTGCTATCTTAACAATATTAAGCTTTTTGAATCATGAAGATGAAATGTCTTTTCATTTATTTAGATTTCCTTAATTTCCATCAATGACATATTGCAGTTTTGAATGTTCAAGTTTACATTTCTTTTGTTAACTTTACTCCTAAGTATTTTGTTTTTTGATACTATTGTAAATGGAACTGTTTTCTTAATTTCATTTTTAAAATATTCATTCTAGTGTCAATTGTTTTTTGTATATTGATGATGTAGCCTATTACTTTGTTGAACTTGTTTATTAGTTATAATAGTTCTTAGTAAATTTCGTAGCATTTTCTATATAAAAGATCATACTATCTCTGAATAGAGATAACTGTACTTCCTCTTTTCCAATATGTATGCCTTTGGTTTATTTCTGTTGCCTCATTCTCCTGGCTAGAACCCCAGTGTGATTTTAAAGAGAAGTCATGAGAGCAGATATCCTTGTCTTGTTCCTGATCTTAGAGGAAAGGCATCCAGGCTTTCACCATTAATTATGATGTTAGCTGTAGGCTTTTCATACATGCCCTTTATCAAGTTGAGGATGTTTCCTTCTATTTCTAGTCTGTGGAATGTTTTTTATCATAAAGTGATGTCGAATGTTGTTGAATGCTTTTTCTTCATCTAGTGAGATATCATGAGCTTTTGGTTTTTATTATACTGATGAATTATACTAATTCATTCCTGGATGTTAAACCAAACTTGTATTCTTGGGATAAATCCCACTTGCTCATAGCTTATAATTCTTTTTATGTTTTTCTGATTCTGTTTTCTAGTATTTTGTTGATTATTTTTGTATATCCATAAGACATATTGGTCAGAATTTTTCTTTTCTCATGATGTCTTTGTCAGGTTTTGGTATCATGGCAATATCGGCCTCATAAAATTAGTCAGAAAGTATCTCTAACATTCTATGTTTTGGAAGAATTGATATTAAATCTCATTCAAATGTTTGGTAATACATCACTGATGTTCCCAACTTGGGCTATTCTTGGTGTGATTTTTTTTTTTATTACTAATCCAATCTCTTCACTTGTTACAGATTTGTTCAAATTATTTATCTTTTCTTGAGTCAGTTTTGGTAGTTTACGTGTTTTTAGGAATTTATCTATGTCATCTAGATTACCTAAATTGTTGGCATACAATTGTTCATATAATTCCTCTAATACTGTTTAATTTCTGTAAGGTCTGTAGTAATTGTCACACCTTTCGCTTCAGATTTTAGCAATTTGAGCTAACATCTCTGTCAATCTTCCTCTACTTTGTATGTGGGTCACCACTAAAGCATGGTGGACAAGTGTTGTAGGTCTGCACCTGGGATCCAAACCTGGGAACCTGGGCTGCCAAAGTGGAGTGCGCCGAATTGAACAATTGTGCCACGGGGCCAGTCCTTCTTTATTTTTTTCTTGGTCAATCTACTTAATGTTTGTCAGTTTTGTTGATCTTTTCAAAGAACGTGCTTAAGGTTTCATTGATTTTCTCCATTGTTTATCTTTTTATTTTTTTATTTT